TCACTGAAGGCCATCATTCATTCTTACTAAAAGACATATTGTGCCAGGTACCAACCAGTGGCTCACACCTGTAATCCTAGCTACTCAGAAGGCTGAGATCTGAGGATCACAGTTCAAAAGGATCACCGGCAGAAAAGTTCACAAGATTTGTATTTCAAACTAACTACCAAAAAGTCAGAAGTGGAGTTGTAGAGCAATAGCCTTGAGCCAAAAATCTTAGAGACAGTGCCCAGGCCAAGTTCTAGAACACACACACACACACTCACTCACACACACATGCCCATAGTACCCAGAATAGTCTCCAGCAATAGTGTCCAGCAAGGTCTCAAGATGGCATCTAAATGCTCTTAACTTTAGAAGAGTTCATGACTGAAGATTATGCTTTTCTGTCTAGAGATAAAGAAATAAGTAAAAGTTTTTGCTAACATTTGTGTATGTATTTATTCAATGCTTACTGGAGTTATGAACCAGACTAGGTACTTAAAACATGTTATTTAATTATCACAAAGTAATTCATTATCTTCACCTTATTCATGAAAAAATTAAAACGTGTACAATAGGCATGAAATACAACAGTGAGTTTTAGAACAAGAATTTATACCGAGATCTCTATCATGTTGCCTTTCATGATTTGGTAAATAACTGAACTTCTGAAAGTCATTTTAAGTGTTTTTGTACTATTTAATGTTCAGCAGTCTTATGAAGCTGTTCAGTTAAAAGATCTCAATAATTTTGACTCCCCTTTAACTCAGACCTCACATTTGATCCCTCTGCACATCTTGCTAGTTCTACCTTCCTGTGTCCAGAATCCATCAGATTTTGATAGCGTATCAAAATGAACGTTCTCAAATCTCACTATTCTCACTCATCTGGCCTGAATTAACTACAATAGCATGTTAACTGGTCTCCCTGCTTCTATTTCCCAAGTTTATTCTGAACCTGTGCAAAGCGATCCTTTTTAAAGTTGCTCTTGGCTCAAAGCATATTTAAAGTATTTACAAATGGATAAGACCTAGTACTCTCTGACATTCTTTCCTTCTCTTCTACTCTAGCCACATTTGCCTCCCTGTTAGTCTTCTGATATTCCAAGCATTCTCCCATTCCCTAGCTGTTCCTTCTACCTAGATTACTTTCCTCACTTCAGGTATCACCTTTTCAGATTTAAAGCGCAAATGATACCTCATCAGTGAAGCATTACTCCCTATCTCCCTTACCCTATCAGGACATTTATTATCTTCCAACATTTCAGGTATATATCATTGTTTGCCTGCCCTCATGATTAAGCTTCATGAGAGCAAGAGCCGGTTTTATTCACAGTTGTATCTTCTCCATGTTTATAACAGTGTCTGGTATGAAATATGTGCTTGAAAATTATGTCCTTAATGAAAATATAAATCACTAACACCAAAGCCCAGATCCATTAATACTCCAGCATATAGCCTCCAAATACATAGGCCCAACATTACTCAAACTTCTGAACTTTTCCATACAATTCTAGAATTTCCAGGTAAATAATCTAAGTCTCCCCACACCCAGCCACAAATGCATACCAAAATTCAGGGCCATTACTTTTTTTTTTTTTTTCTTGGGTCCGGTTGTGGGGCCTGAACGCAGGGCCTGGGCGCTGTCCCTCAGCTCTTCAGCTCAAGGCTAGCGCTCTACCACTTGAGCCACAGCGCCCTCTTCCGGCTTTTTCTTTTTGCATATGTGGTGCTGAGGAATCGAACCCAGGGCCTCAGGCATGCAAGGCAAGCGCTCTACCACTGAGCCACCTTCCCAGCCCAGGGCCATTACTTTTATTTACATTTTCACTTTCCCAGAAGTCAGTAATTGTCAAATACTGAGCCTTAGGTTCTCATCACTTCATAAAGTTTTCTTCTGCTCCTCTCCTCATTCACTGCTAAATCTTCTCACGCTATTCTAAGAAAATTAGCCAAAAATTAGCCACCTGGCCCCCAAATGATAATCATCTGATTCTTCCACATGTTGATTATATTCTATCATTCTTACTAGGCTGCATGCTTTACTTTAGAGGGTCTCTCAAATAAGGCCTCACATGTAGAAAATAGTTTCAAATATTATTATTATTATGCCCACAATTCCTTTCACAAACATAAAGCTCCATGAGATCTTGGTCATTCTTTTCTTTCCCCTGAATTATCTATTCTCACAAAACAGGAAGAGCACTACTTCAAAGAGAAAGAGGGTCTATTAACTAATGAACAAGGGAGAAATAAATGATAAAAGGTGTTTCTGATACAATGTGGCTATTTCTTTACACCCTAAATAGATGAGAACTTAGATTGCTTTTACAACTTTACCCAGGTAGCTTGAAAGAGCAGGACTGACAGGTTCCTGAAAGGACAAATGAGACTAAATTTTAGAAGCATTTCGTTGACTTTGGTGTTAATGACTTGAAAAGAAATTTAAAAGGACACCAAGTGATGAATAGTTCACCCACCAACCATGAAAATATTTTACTTATTTTTCTAAGAATATTCCAATGAAAGATTCTAATTTAATGTTAGTCTAATGTAAGTTTTTTAATGTCTCAATTATGATAATAAGGAGGTCAAAGATCATCCATTACTATAAACCCTCTTCCCCCAAAATATGTAATATTAGTATGTTCAGAAAACATGACACAATTTCTAAGTTTCTTCCTGGAAGGTTCACACAAACAAAAAAGACACTGTTAAAGAACATAATGTAAAGTGGCACTGTGGCTCAAGCAGCAGAGCGCATGCCTTGAGCTGAAGAGCTGAGGGACAGCGCCCAGGCCCAGAGTTCAAGCCCCACAACTGACCAAAAAAAAAAAAAAAAAGAACGTAATGTAGTCAATAAATATCATGAGAATCAATGGGAAACTTACTTGAAGTTTAACACACATATCTGTGTGTAAACTCAAGACTAACTACATTCATGAGTAAATTGTAAAGTTAAACATAAAGAAAGAGGGTGAACAGTGGGCAGGTAGGTTGTAAATTCCTAAACTGCTACAGACAGAAAGGTAAGCATTATTTTCATGCAACTCATTTTACATTAAAGAAATTGAAAGTTAAGCATTTGCATACAAAAAAATTCATGAACTTGCACATTTCACACTTCCTTGAAGCCCAAAGTCCTTGTTTATAGAATGCATCACCAGTAATAGTGAATTATATAAGCATTTGAATTTCTTGGGCACGAGATAGCTGTGATCAGGCTAATTCTAAGGAAACTTACAAATAGACTAGATATTAAAGCAATATAATAGGGATGAAAAAGTTGTCAAAGACTTAGAAGGAAAAAGGAGTCATAGAAGCTGTCCATCTCCCCTCCACTTCAATTGTTCTTCCAGAAGCTTCTCTGATCACCATATCTAAAATAACTGACCCTATTACATTCTATTCTGACCCCTAACTTTTTTCCTCATTGCAGTCTCTGGTATACACCATTTTATTATATAGTTGCATTTCTTGGTTGCCCTCCCATTAAAATATAAATCCTATGAGGGCAGAAGCTTTGTCAGTTTAAACACATAGCTGGCACTCAGTAAACATGGGGTGAATAATGAAACTAAGCCCAAAGAGGTCAAGGTTGCAGAGCTAGCAACAAGCAAAAAAGTTTAACCATAGATTCTATTAAGCAGATTTTTGTTTTTTAGTGCCAAAAAATGTATATATTACATATATATTCATATATATGCATGTCCCACACACACACAAAAGCAGCACATTGAGTAGCATTTAAACTTTAAGTGCTTCTCAGCAGGCTGAGATCTGAAGATCATGGTTCAAAGCCAGTCCAGCCAGTTAAGTACATGAGACTTTTTAATTAACCACTAAAAAGCCAAAGTAGACTTGTAGCTCAAGTGGTGGAGCACCAACCCTGAGTGAAAAAGATAAGGGGCAGTGCCCAGGCCCTGAGCTCAAGCCCAAGGACCTGCACAACAACAACAAAAAAACAGCACATGCATCTCATAAGCCATAAGCACTCAGGATTGGCCTATAAAGCACAAAGACATGACCACTCACAATTCTCTAAGTTTATCCTAAAATTAAGTCTATGCTTTAGTTTTGAGAACCACTACTGCTTACCAACTCAGAGTGACCTGTAAAGTATCAACCTCATTTTCTCTCTTCTCAGGCCCACAAAAACTCCTCTCTGGATACAGCTTTTATCTTGCAGATTATGCAAGGCAATGTAACTAACGTCCAAGCCTCTTTCATTTCTTTTAAAGTACGTGTCAATCTCACATTATACACATGACATTAATTCTTGAGAAGTTTCAAGGGAACCATCTCGGAACTTCTCATCATCCGACTGTGATCACTTAGGTCCTTCATTGAAAATCCATGAAATCTAAAAGAAACATGAGACGGGAATGAAGGGGAAGGGAAAGAAGAAAAAGAGAGAAGAGTAGAGAAGCATTGTTGACACACATTAAAACCGGGAGCTGACACTGCTATTCACACTTCTGCCCGACCAAACGTCAGCTTCACGCAGAAAAAGCCCAGGGCCTCTCTGACACAACTTGTGCTGTCTTTAATCACCTTCCCCGCGGAGGGAGCCAACTGCCAACACCTTTGGCGGTGAACGTCCGGGAGACCCGGGATGGGAACTCGCTAAGACAGGGCCATTGGCACCGCGTCTCGGAAAACTTACGGTCAGCCCGATTCGCAAGACTGAAAGGGACGCCCTGAGATGGGCCGGGGGGGGGGGGGGGGGGGGGCAACGAGAGTTGAAATGCGACTGGGAGTTAAAGAGTGAGCGAGAGGCAGCCAACGCCAAAAAGGCGCCGTGCGGGTAAACAACGCATCCGGGATGGGAGTGGAGGCGCGGGGTGGAAGAAGTGGGGTCAGCGAAAGCCAGGGGTGCGGGGGGGGGGGGGGCGCGGGCCGAGGCGCGCGGGGGAAGGGAGGCGGGGGCCGGGGGGCTGCGGGTGAGAGAGGGTCCGGGGCGGGGCGGGAAGGAGCGGAGAGGCGGGATGCCGAGGGCCAGGCCGGGAGGGTCCGTACCTGCAGCTCCGCCCGCTCCACCTCCCACTGGGCTCGCTCCACCTCGAAGCGGGCCCACTCGTGCTGCAGGAAGTGCAGGATCCCGGGGAGGCTGTACTGGGCTCGGGCCGCCCCCGCCGCCGTCGCCCCGTCGCCGGCCGCGGCAGCCTCCGCCAGAGGCCCGAGCCCCTTAGCACCGCCGGCGCCCGGATGGTTGTTGCTGAAGAAAACGCCGGGACCCGCCTGCTCGTCCATGGTGGCCGCAGAAACCCGGGCTCAGCCCAGGCGCCCAGCCGCGGAGGCAACAGCGGCAACCAGCAGTACCTCCACCTCCTCCTCCCGCCGCCGCCGCCGCCGCCGCCGCCGCCGCTACCGCCGCTCCCCGCCCACACCCCAGTCAGCAGGGAGCAGCCGCCTGGACGCGGAGGCCGGGCGAGCCCGTGACGGGCCGGGAAGTGGGTCAACTGCGGCGCGCGGCGCGCGGGGCTCGCCGGGAAATGTAGTCTCGGAGGGCGGAGCGTGCAGCGCAGCAGCCTGTGGGGCTGCTCGCCTGGCTTTGGGGGCGGGGCCGTGGCTCCGCCCCCATCCCCGTCGCCCCGCCCATGCCCCGCCCTCCGTGGCGGTGCTCCGCCCTGCGTGGTGGAACCGCAGGGCGGGGAGCGGTCGGTTTCCTCTGGGCGGGCTGGGTGGGCTTGGTCTGTGCCCCGCTCTGGGTCGCGCCAACGCAGCTTCGCTTGCACGCGGAAGTTCTCGAGCGGCGCTCCCTGTTGCACACACACACACACACACACACACACACGGAAGTTATCACGCCAAAATGCCAGTCCAAGCCGCACTTCTTTTAGGGCTTCCTGGTGGTTCGTTTAAAAAGACAAGCTCGCGATGCGCCGCGGTTTCAGCCCCGGCCGGCAACCCTCTGCCTTCCTCTCGGATCCCGGACGGCGCCCACCGCCCCTGCCGGGCCCAGCGCCGCCGCGTCGCACGGGGGTCGCCGTCACGCCTGCCTTTTCTCTTTTCCTTTTTTAAACCTGTTTCCTGACCACTTATCAAGAACTCTCATTCTTTTCCCTGGGAGTCCACGCCTCGGCTCCTTGGGGTTTCGCCTCAGAAAAGTTCCTGGGCTTTGAAGTCCCCTTTTCCTCGTAGAGCCCAGCAAACCCGGTCAAAGCTTAATTAGCTATCTAATTACAGGTGCTGTGGCTGGTGGGTTTGGTTTTTTAAGCCTCGCTTTTCCTGTCCTTCCTGCACAGCTTTGACTCCGTTTAATTGGACAGAAGTATCTAGACTAATGTAGCCCGCAGGACGCGGCCCTCTGGTGCTGGAGAGCTCTCTGGAGTGTCCACTACCTCTCCTTTTTTCATTTGTTTTTGTTTGTTTACTGTTTTCTTTCCATCTTTCACCTGTAGGGTATCAGCCTTCTACTCATCAAAGTCCTTTCCTGTTAAGTGACTGAATATTTCCTTCTCTGGATTCCCCCCTCCTCCCATTAAATCACAACAAAATCACCCAACACGGATGGGAGAAAAGACGGTGCCTGAAAAATATGGAAGGAATGAAAATGAAATTAAGTATTACTGCTTTTCAAGCTATAACTAGTTCTCTGTAATCCTACTAGGTTCTTTTTGAAGGGGGGGGCGGGGGACGCGGAGGAATGAACTGTAAGATTCCAGACCCCGTAGCTATGGGAGTTATTGTTTTTTTAAAGAGTATATAGAGTAATGAGTGACATGCAAGGGAAGGACATCCTGTCCCTGTCCCCTCCTCCCTCCCCCGTTCCCATGGGTACTGTGGAAAAGACAGGAAACACATTGTATCTGCTCTGGTTGCAAATAAAGATGGCAAGCTCTCTTCTCCCAGTTACTGAATGTTTCTGCTTTGTGAATTCATTCTTGATTATCATAAAAAGTTGATCCAGGACTGGCCACATTCCCTGTGTCATAAATTACTTGGGCTGTGAATGTCCTTTGAGATGCGACCTAATCCTCTCATTTAAACTCAAGAAACTATAGTTCAAAGAAATCAAGACTCGTCCCTGGTGAGAGAAAGAAAAACGTGGAGTGAGTGAAAGTCAAAGCTAGCACCCAGTTTGCCTGCCAGTTCAGTGACAGCTTCGTTAACAGGATGACTTCTCTCATTAGCCTTACCGGATTACTACCAAAGCATTCTGCTTTTCATATAACAAATGTAAATAACTTTACAAATTTAAAAAGAGCTTTTATTTCTCTAATAGAAGACATGACTGACACTTCCCTTAAGGCAATTCACATCAGAATATAAAACATAATTACATTTATAATCTAGAATACAACATACTTTAAAAAGCACTGTTTCAATTCATAAACTTTACTACTCGCAATGTTTTTTTTTTGTTTTGCAAGGACATAATTACATCCAAAATAGTATTAGTGATCTGTTATCAGTACTATTTATTATAAAAAATACTAAGAATAGTTATAGTAAATTGGGATTATGAAGAAATGTATTTCTCACATTGAAAAATTTTCCACCAAGCGCCAGTGGCTCATGCCTGTAAGCTGAGATCTGAGAATCAAAGTTCAAAGCCAGCCTGGGTAGGAAAGTCTGTGAGACTCTTATCTCCAATAAACCACTAGAAAACCAGACATGGCTCCACGGCTCAAGCAGTAGAGCACTTGCCTTGAGCTGAAGAACCCAGGGATAGCACTCAGACCCAGAGTTCAAGCCCCACAACTGACAGAAAAAAGAAAAAAATTTCCATGTGGTAATATTTGGTGTGTAGTTTGACCAAAAAAACAAAACAAAGCATTTTTAGGTAGAAGGCCTTCTCTTAAAATTCCTAAATTAATTTAAGAAAATAAATTAATGGAGGGAAGGTAATGGGAGAACAAGGGAGGGGGGTAACAATGCTCGACAAGAAATGTTAAGAAAGAAGGAAAAGGGGGCTGGGAAGGTGGCTCAGTGGTAGAGTGCTTGCCTTGCATGCATGAAGCCCTGGGCTCAAGTGGTAGAGTGCTAGCCTTGAGCTGAAGAGCTGAAGGACAGCACCCAGGCCGAGTTCAGGCACCCCGACCAGACCCAAAAAAAAAAAAAAAAAAGAAAGAAAGAAAGAAAAAGGAAGAAAGGAAGGGAGGAAGGAAGGAAAGAAGGAAGGAAGGGAAAGAAAGAATGAAAGGAAGAAAGAGAGAGAAAGAAAGAAAGAAAGAAAGAAAGAAAGAAAGAAAGAAAGAAAGAAAGAAAGAAAGAAAGAAAGAAAGAAAAAAAGGAGGGAGGGAGGGAGGGAAGAAATTAATGGAACACCTCTGATATGAATCAATTTTGAAACAGTGTTTGAGTAATGAGCTGTCCCTTTAAGTGATTTGTAGCCTCTGGCTTTAAATTAAGTTTTTAAAGTAATTTAGTGTATATAAAAATGCACAGAAGTGGGCTGGGTGCCAGTGGCTCACACCTGTAACCATAGCCACTCAGGAGGCTGAGATCTGAGGACTGCAGTTCAAAGCCAACCTGGGCAGGAAATTCTGTGAGACTTTTATCTCCAATAAGCCACCAGAAAGCTAGAAGTGGCACTGTGGCTCAAGTGATAGAGTGCTAGCCTAATGTTGAAGAGCTGAGGGACAACAACCAGGCGCAGTGTTCAAGCCCCACCACCAACAAAATAATAAATAAAAAATTACACAGAAGTATTAAATGAATTTTCACAACTTCTGAGTACCTACAACTCACATTATGAAATGGAACATCATAGGCCTTCCAAAGTCTCCTTCTGATGTATATTCTTAGTCACAATACCAAGAATCCCTTTTGAATTTGAAAACTGAAAAAAGTAACTAAAGATGTGACATTTATAATAAATTAAACGTAAACCTATTTTTCCTTTGTAATTTTGCAGATTTAAAAATATTGAGCAAATGGCCTATTTGTCTTATAAAGTAACCCCTTACCATAGTAGCTAGTATATAGCTGGTATATACTGTATATAATGACTATTATCTAATACAGTTTTACAATAGTAATACATACTGGGGCAAAAGTCTCTGGTAAATAGTAGGAACTCAACCATTGTTCCTTTTCCTTTCTCACCCCATATTCAGAATACTAATATAGTAGAATTAAAATAATTTTAAAACAAAGATAAGGTAACCTTTAACTATCAGACCTAAAGGGTTAATCTTTTCATTATATGTTTATTAAGGCCTAAGTGAAATATAAATAGGGTAGGGTTCCCTTCACACACACAGAACAACTGTGGAAGTGCTAAGTTATATTAGTACAACTTGTTTAAAGTGAAAAATGTGAAGTGCAAAATGGTTATTCGGATAATAGAAGTGTTTGCTACTTTTTGGTTTATATGCGTGTGCCTTGTGGGATTATAGCTCCATTAAGTTACAATTTATGTGTGTTTTTTTTGTTGTTGGGGGTTTTTATTTGTTTTTTGGTCAGGCATGGGCTTGAATTTTGGGCCTGGGTGCTGTCCCTCAGCTCTTCAACTCAAGGCTAGCACTCTACCACTTGAGCCACAGCAGCACTTCTGGTTTTCTGGTGGTTGATTGGAGAGAAGAATCTCATGGACTCTGGTGCCCAGGGCTGGTTTTGAACCACAATACTCAGAGGCTGAGGCCTCCTGAGTAGCTAGGATTACAGGCATGAGTCACCAATGCCTGGCACAATTAATGTTTGATTTTTTTTTCTTCTTTAAAATGAGTGTGTAAGGGCTGGGAAGGTGGCTCAGTGGTAGAGCACTTGCCTTGCATGCTCGAGGCCCTGGGTTCGATTCCTCAGCACACATAAGAAAAAAGCCGGAAGTGGCGCTGTGGCTCAAGTGGTAGAGTGCTAGCCTTGAGCTGGAGAACTGAGGGACAGTGCCCAGGCCCAGAGTTCAGGCCCCATGACCGGACCCCCCCCCCCCAAAAAAAAAGAAAGTAAAATGAATGTGTAAATTTTTAGTTATTTGTGTCTGAATCTTTACTTTTTACTCAGGGTAAAAGTTTCAAATTCAACTTGATAGTTCTTTCAGAATTCTGGGCAGATAAAAAGAGAGAAAGAACTGCCTCAGAAAACTGAGACAGGCAAATCAGAGTTTCAGGCTAAATAGTGAGAACCTGTCCACTCCTCAAATAATTTAATTTATTTATTAAATAGAATCTAATAAACTTAACTATTCAAACTTACATTTTTAAATTAATTTTGTAATGTCTGTATTTATAGAAATCAGTAATTCAAAGCTAAAATTAAGATTGTTTGAATAAATCTAAACATCTAACACAGGACAGACAAAAATGAGAATATACTCCTAAAGTTGTAGCAAAACTTCTCCAGGAATGACAATGATGACCAATTTTGGTCTATTTCTCTAAGCAGAGTAATTAGGTTCT